CAAAGAACATTGTGTAGGGACCATGTCAATCGGAACACAGTTCATGCATAGACCTTTCTTCTAATGAGCTGGTTATGTGGATCAGGTGTGTTAAATAGCTAAGAGAGACATGCAAAATATGCAGAGCGGTGGTTTATGGAACCAGAGAAGGAACAATGGCCCAGAGGTAGGTAGTCTGAGGTGTAACCGGGAAGTTTCCAATGCTGGGTGGGACCAGCGGAAGACGAACAATAGCCCTGGGTGGAACAAAGGAGTCCACTGCACTGTACAGAACCAGAAGAGGATGAGGAGCTAAAGCCGTAGGCTGAGGAGGAGAAAAGGTTGGGGAACTGGCTCTGGGATGGACTTTCCAGTGGGAGCTGGTACTGAGATGGATGAGGCTTCCAACTGAGTTTTGGAGAAAGAAGCCCTTGCACTGAGCACAAGGAACATCAAAACTCTCTGGAAGTTTATGCACTGACATACAGGTAGACGAAATGAGAATAGGTGATGGGGGGGGGGTGTCCTTTGGCTGCATTTCTAAAGTGTCCTTTGGCTGCATTTTACTTGTTGCTGTCAGACTGGTGAAGATTACTTCCCTAGTAAAAAAGTAATATATTTAAAATACATTTATTTAATACTAAGTACAGTTCAAATCTATTAACATATTTACTTACATATCGCTCGAGACTTACTGATATAATATTATAATGCACAGTTCTTAATATTAAGTATAAAAAGTTTTTTTTTTATGTCAATATTAATGAGGATTGGATGATCTCTGAATAACATTTGTCTTTAAATGCAATATATTTAAAGTGTACCTGAAGTATACTTCCAATAGTTCCACTTCAGCACAATCAAATATACTTCAGTATATCTTTAGTTGGACTTCAGCAATACTTCCGCACAAGTGCATGAAGTACAAAATTAGTTCAATTTTCAATTTAGCAGACTTTAAGTATACCAGTTTAGTATACCGTAAGTACAATTGCAGGGTATTTTTATTTAGCATATAAATATGCAAATGTATTTGTAGTATGCTTTGAATCTGAATTGCCTTCAGCGTTCTGCCCTGCTGATATTGGAAACAAATATCATGCTTGTGCATTTAATTTATACTGGTTGTGTAATCTTGCAGCAAACCATGTTGGTGCAATATTGGCCCTGTTGGTCAAGCTAATGAAACAGCAGTATCTTGCTGACTGAGCAGGCAAAATGTCTGTGGTTTATCAACCTTGTAAGGCCTGGAATCAGTTATTTATGTGGTTGTGTGCAGAGGCGAGAACTCGCCTTTCACAGCCATGCTATTCACCAGACCTTTAGTATAGCCAATTAAATATATTTCCATTCAGTGTATGTGGAAGGCAAACAACTAACATTTGTGCCCAACACCAACTAAACTGTCCCAGAAAAACCATTGCAACCCATTTTTAAGGCTCTTATGGACTAGATAGACAAATTGTGAGTCATCTGAACAGTGGCAGCAGTTACCTGCAGTGTTTGATTCACTACAATTATTCAGTTCATGGCAACACAAACGCCACTATTCATCCTTTTCCTCCCTCTCTCAAGCTTTCAGCAAGGCATTCTTGGAAGGTTAATGGAATACAACCAGTATTAGTGTTTTTTTAACTACCATCAGATAGAAAAATGAAAAATAGTTCAATTAAAAATATGTGCTTATCATACAATGTGAATTAAATATCAGACCTTTAAGAAGATCTTTAACAGCATATGTTATTTGTTTTTGTTTTGAATAAATTTTGGCACCATGCTAAAGAACAATCCGTGGGCCATTTGTACAATCTCCATGGTTACATTGCAGGTCACAGGGGAAATGGAGACAGGATGTGGTTTCAGAAGTGAGGAAGTTATTTCTTCGCCTCAGTATGCAGCTAAGTACGTACATTCTGTCTGCGATAATCAAAAAAAGTCTTAACTTCTTCCTCAACTCAGTGAAGGGTTTAAGATTGTATCAAGGTCATATTAGCTGGAGAAAAATAAAGACAAAACATGCTATTTCAAAACAAAGATAATTTCCTTAGTTATTATACAATGCAATGCAAAACCACACGCATACATTTTTTCATACATAAATTTGTATTTATTTTTATGTTAAGTCTGATATATGGCCTTACTTAAACTGATAATTCACTCATAAATGATAATGCTGTCACTCACCCTCAGGTGAACTCATATGACTTCCTTTCTTACATGGAACACAAAAGGAGACATTCTGAAGAATTACTCTTCTGATCCATGCATTGAGAATGTCAACCTCAAATGGGGCAAAAAGTCACCATAACATGATAAAAGCGGTCCACGTGAAGTCATATGATTGCTTTTTGTGGCAAACAGACACATTTTAATCTGCAGGCTTGCTCAACTGGGGTCGGCTCATCCAGACTGCAAATTAGGGGCAAAAGTCATGTAAGTAGAAATGTCTGATTTGTGAAGAATGAGTCGGATCTTTTCAAAGAATCTGTTGATCCTATTTATAAAACCGCTCTGAATGATTCAATCTGATCGTGCTCTAAGTTCAAATCATTCACTCAGTAATGCAGCTGCAAGTTGCAACCATTAACCAGAATATTCAAAATGTCTTTTTTTAGTTTCACGAATTAAGAAATTCATGACATGTGGGTGATTAGGCTAAATTATGATTTTCATTTTGGGGTTAATTATGGCTTTTTAAAGTCTAGTTTGACATTCTGATATATAAACCCTAGTATAAAAAAAGTTATATATTTAAAATACATTTATTTCATACTAAGTATAGTTCAAATCTATTAACATATTTACTTGAGACTGATATCAAAATTATAATTAAACTTTATTTGGAGTACTTAATATTAAACCTAAAATGTGTTTTAATGTCATTATTGATGAGGATTGGATCTTTGAATAATACTGGTCTTTAAATGCAAGGAATTTAAAGTGCACCTAAAGTTTACTAAAAATATATATATATACTTCAGTATATCTTTAGTTGGACTTCAGCACTACTTCTGCACAATTAAAGTGCAAAATTTGTTGTATAGCACAGAAGTTTAGTGGGCCTATACCAAAAGTACAATTGCAGTGTATTTTTATTTAAGTACACAATATGTAAATGTATTTGTAGTATACATAGCATGAATTAAATGTATTTCAAATACATTTGAGTATATTTTTCACAAGGGAAGGCTATGAGCATTTATGGTAAGTCTCCAAAGCACAACAAAAGACATTCAACAACACAGACAATAATAGGCTACCTTTAGTACATTGACCAAGGACGTTTTGTGTCCCTCAATGTGCCGCTATCACTGTGTAAATACTGTGATTTTCTCAAAGTTGCTACAGAAGCTTTAGAGTACTTTCGGTTTGATCCAGACTCTCGAATTCCTTCATGAGAATTGGCACGAGAGGAGGAGTTGTTGTGACGCATAACATTTCCAGTTAAAGACTGCCCTTCTCCTCCGAGGAAATGGACGGTAGCGATACTTCACCCATCTCACATTTTTAAAAACGTTTTTAAATATAGGCTATATTTGAGCTCTATTGGGGATGATAGAACGCTTCTGGGAGAGTAAGAAAAGACAATGCTGGATCGCCATGAGTAGAGGTAAGTTCACGCGCTGTAAAATCTCCATACGGAACTCGATTGTTATCTCTAATGTGGCACTTTTAAGTGTGGGTGTCGAGATTGTACCGTGGTTTGAAACGGATGGAAATGTTAAAGCGTCTCCCCGTTTGCCGTCTTTCCTAGTGTACATGTCTGTGGGGGTCTCAGCTGGCATTAACAATAACAACTGTATTTTAGATGTTACTGTGTGTGGTTTGTAGGCACTGTACATGTACTGTGTCATGTAGGCACTATTTCGCAATAGGTATAATCTGCTTGATAGGCTACAAGGACATCAGAGTTCATGAAAACTGTTGTTTTTCTTTATTAGATAAAGCTGTGAAATTAATAATGTGTAAAATATTAACTCTTACCTACATTTTCCCCTCTCCTCTGTCTGCACAGTGTGTTTGGTGAAGTGAGAAGTACTGCTTTAGCGCCCCCTATAGCGGCCATGAGGATATGTCAGCTGTTCGCTTATGTATTGCTGGTAAGATGGCATTCGCAGAGCATTTATTCAGCCATGAACCTTCATTTTCAAAAGTGCCCCAGGTGGCCATCTAAAATACTTTATTAAAAGGTTGTGTTGGGCTGCTTTTCATCATGGTTGACTATGATTAAAGGCATGTTTTAATTGGTTAATTATTCGGTGACTTTACCTATACATAAAATGAATAGTCAGGTTGCATAATCTAATTTTAACTATAACATATAAACATTTTAGGACATACCTACATTGAGATTTTGCAAGTTATGATGAGTGTAAGCCATGTGTCAGTGTAATTTCATTAAAAAAAAGAAAAAATGAATAAGGACTACCTTACCCACAATTCTAAAGGAATATCCACCAATCACAGAAGCTTCTCTTTTATATTGTTATAGTTCATTCCTCAAAATAATTTATGAGGCACTTCCTTTTCATCACTCGTTATTTGATCGGACTTCTGCATGTTAAGACATAAAAAAAAAGTAAAAATTATTAACTGAACACTGAATACAAAATTAAACATGTGACGAGGCTAACATATGTAATGAGATAATGTGATAGCAATATAGCATATTAATATTTCAATCATTTATCTTGTATTAGTGCTTGTTGTTGGTAATAAAAATTGTAGGTGGTAAACAATCTGAACGTAGCCATTCATTCATCCAATTTTCATTTTCATAATAATAAGTATAGTAATAATAATATGGGGAAAAGTTGTGTGCGAGGTATTACTTCTGGTTTATTCACCACGCTTGAAAGGAAAGGTCAAATAAAGCACTTTCATTGTAAAATACAGTATCGCACTGTGCACTCACACATAATATATGGTGCATGCTATCACAGTCATAACGAATGCCTCGTTTATAATGGGTTTTCATGTTTTTGAATCATCGCTCTGGCCTGACAGGGCATCATCGCAATATGGTGAGGGAGCGTAACATTTCCGTCACACGCTTGAGGTATTCGGCCAATCACAACGCACTGGATAGCTGGCCAATCACAGCACACCTCGCTTTTCAGACCGATGAGCTTTGTAAAAATCGACGCGTTTCAGAAAGGAAACAATAATGTACAGTATGTGGAAAATAATGTGTTTTTTAACCTTAAACCGCATAAACACATTTCATTACACCAAATAAAGTTCTTTTTAGTAACATCATATGGCCTCTTTAATTGTTTTGACAAAAAAAACACTGAGATATTTTTTAAAATAACTTCTTGTGTGTTCCACCGAGTAAATGATGACAATTTTCATTTTGGGCTGAAAGTATCCCTTTAATATGTGGATGATTGTTAAAAACTTTGCACAACCAATTAATTTGACCTTTGCTCAGTTTTCATATGTCTTTCATCCTTTAATCACAGACCATTCCATAGAGATATCACCATGTACATTCAAAAGCAATAGGGTGTGTGGGTGTGAGCCTGAATACTACTTTAAGAAATTAGGCGACTTGGGATGGGAATGTTCTAGCTGTAAGAAGTGTGGATCTGGGCAGCTGATAGCTGCGAAATGTAAGTCCCTCAAGCTTAATAAAGCTACGTAAATAAATTAAAGCTATATATTAATCTTGTTTTTACATTATAGGATACCTTTAGTTAATGTTTTCACTTTTGTCAGGTGCTGGGGAACAGAATACAAAGTGTCAATGCAAAGAAAACCATTATGCTGTCAAGGGCAAAAACCTCTGTGAGCTGTGTGTTAAGTAAGTCACACTTCGGTACTCTTCAAAATCCTGCGGGCACTTGTTATGATGTGGCACTTGTTCAGAGGTTAAGTTGATGAATGGACTCATTAATCTTTTGATTTCGAAAAGTCTACAAGTACAGCCGTCCTTCCTTGCATTTATGTCTGCTGTCCTGAAAATGTTATGTTAAAGGTGAAGCGTGATATTTTCTGTGTTGCAATGCTTTACATTTCATGCTAATGTGCAGAGACATACTCTACATAAGTACACGTATGAATTCAGAAGCATTTAACTACACAAGCTCAGTTTTGTGCGTTGTTGCATTTTGAAATGCGTTTAACTGAAATGAATAACTCGATACAAGTACACATCTTGGATATTATAGTCATTTTAAATTTGACATTTATTCTAAATAATTTTATTTTGAATTTTATGTTTCACTCTGTTATTGTTGGTTTTAGATTAGTTTTTTAGTTTTAGCATTTTAGAATTTTTTGTATTTAATTTTTTATTATTATTATTATTTTACTCTTAGTATTTTAGGTCTACTACAATTAAGGTGCTAATTGATATCATTAAAAAAAAAAGTTTAATGCCATTAAATTTGCCAGGACAGTTTTGATCTAGTGGCAATTGCAGGTTGGAATCAATTTTTTTATATAATTTACTTATGATTATGATAAATCTTTCAGTTAAAAATGTATTTAGTTTTCATTTTTTGTAACAATAATAATCCATGCTGTCAACGAATGGGAACCAATTTTGTCTTTTTTTTTAATCAACTACTGTCAGTATGAAGAGAACTTTCCTGAGCCTATTAGTTACGTGCATAAAATATGCACTTAATGTTGTAATGACGCTGACCAAGCTCTCCTTTTTGTGTTCATGTATACTTGCGTAAATGTCTGGCCCAAGACAGACAGAGTGATTCACCTTTAAATTATTTTATATACAGGTGCATCTCAATAAATTAGAATGTCATGGAAAAGTTTTTATTTCAGTAATTCAACTCAAATTGTGAAACTCGTGTATTAAATAAATTCAATGCACACAGACTGAAGTAGTTTAAGTCTTTGGCTCTTTTAATTGTGATGATTTTGGCTCACATTTAACAAAAACCCACCAATTCATTATCTCAACCAATTAGAATACTTCATTTCAGCACTCTGTGAACAGCCAGCTTCTTTGGGAATGAATGTCTGTGGCTTACCCTCCTTGTGAAGGGTGTCAATGATTGTCTTCTGGACAACTGTCAGATCAGCAGTCTTCCCCATGATTGTGTAGCCAAGTGAACCAAACTGAGAGACCATTTTGAAGACTCAGGAAACCTTTGCAGGTGTTTTGAGTTGATTAGCTGATTGGCATGTGACCATATTCTAATTTGTTGAGATAGTGAATTGGTGGGTTTTTGTTAAATGTGAGTCAAAATCATCACAATTAAAAGAACCAAAGACTTAAACTACTTCAGTTTGTGTGCATTGACTTTATTTAATAAACGAGTTTCACAATTTGAGTTGAATTACTGAAATAAATGAACTTTTCCACGACATTCTAATTTATTGAGATGCACCTGTATATTGAAAAACTGAAATGAGAATATCTACAAATGACAAACTATCCTTTATAATAACCTTTATATGGAATGCGTTCCCTGTTGTTACTGCTCATCCACATACATACACTGAAGTGTACTGAATTAGCACATGAAAATTGTTTTAATGGGTAATTAACAGATACATTTACAGATCTGTATAACTTTAGACATGGCAGACAAAATAATCAACATGTGTGTTCTTTATATCTTATAGATGTCAGGATGAGTGTCCACACTTGTGCAAATCCAGCACACCTCCTAACCCTTTAAGGTCTGCCAACCCAACTAGTCCTTCAGGTGAGTACTGACCTGGGACATTTCCTCTGAGGAGGCAAGGGAGGCAGTGCCTCTTCAAAAAACTGGATGAGAAAACTATGCAAATATTGCAAAATATGAAATTAAAAAGAAAATCCCTAGGTTTTTTTTAAGTAACACTACAACAGCGATTACAGCAGGAGGCTGCCTCTCTCTTGCCTCTCCTAAGCCTATTGAGTTTTAACAGATCCCTAAGGCATGTGGTGGGTTTCATAATGGGTACAGTAAGTTGAGAATGAATGGGGGAAAATCACATGAGAAGAGGCTATGATTTGGTTCATGTAATAAATCCCGCCTCCAGTTTTTGTATTTGTCACACGTTCGCTTATCAGTCTGAATGAACAAACTGATGGCATTAATGGGAAGCCTAATTAAAATGTAAAAAAAAAAGTCACGTCAAAATAAAACTTCAAATCGCCTGAAAACATGATCTGTGGGATTTTTTTAGTGAGCAATTAGCTTGGTGAAATTTCTTGTTTATGACTAATGATCTGAAAATTTGACTGTTAATAAGCTGAATAGTCGTTATTATTGAATAGTTATTGTTTTAGAATGAATGTAAAAAAAAAATGCTTAAAACTAGCTTAATGAGATTTCTACTTGGTTTTAATGAATAGAACATTACTTACATTACAAAACAGAACTGGTTAACACTTTATTTTAAGGTGTCCTTGTTACACATGTTGCATATACTTACTATTATAATAACAATAAATGATTCATAATTACATGCAAGTAACCCTAAACCAAACCCTAATCCTAACCCTAACCATATAGTAATTAATATTACTCAGTACTTAAATGTATAATTACACTAATAGGACACCTTAAAATAAAGTGTAACCTAGAGTAGTATTTGTTTTTTTTTGATACTGTGAGTAATGTTTATTTAACCAGGAAAATGTGTAACTGAGACAATAATTTACATTTGCTTTATTTTCTAAAAAAAACACCACCCCACACCACTGGTACTGATCAACATCCATCCAAAAATGTGTATCCTTTGGAAATCGCAAATATTGAAAATCTTATGTCTGTTGGCTTTTCTAATATTGTGGATGCCAGACAGGCTACTGCATGGCTTTTGAGTGAATTGATAAAGAGAGCTAGTACTAAAATGTTTTTAGAAAGCATGAGTAATCTTGGGAAGTCCCCTCTCAGGTTCCTTTGAATTTGTCTAGCCATTACTAAGCAAAACGTCTCTGTATGGTCCAAAAACAACACGTGTCCTCAGGCAAGAAATAATATTGAGGGCTGATTTTAATTGGTTTGTTTCTGGTCTCATTGACGTTTCAGGCTCAATACCTCAAATACTGGTCCCTGTGGGTGCATGCATCATGGTTCTAGCACTGGGAGTGTTCATGTTATACGAGGGCATCAGACTTTGGAAGAAAAAGAGGCATGCTTTGTCATCGCAGAAATCATCACCTGCTACCGAAGATCAGGTAAAATGCTTGATTGACCTATGACAAACAATGACAAAGACACCACAACCATTCTTCTTCACAATGCGAGTGATTCACATCTGCTGCTAAACACATAATTACAGTAGCTCTGTTTTTACAGAAGATGATTCAGCTTTTATCATAAATACTAATTCTAATATTTCTATCACAGGGACCCCCATCTGAACTCTCAGCCAGTGACAAATAATATTAATAGAACTGCACTAATGTCTTTCAGAAATAAATGCTAAAGTGGTGCTGTATTAACTGTTTTCTGTTTTAAATAGTTATACTGTTAGTTAAACGGTTATATATTTTTAAATGTAATGTATTCCTGTGATGGTAACGCCAAACTTTCAGCAGCCATTTCTCCAGGCAGCATTTCTTCGGAAATTATTTAATATGCTGATTATTGTCATTGTTGAAAACACTTGTGCTCCTTAATATGTTTGTGAAAACCGTGATACTTTGCAGTATTCTTTGATGAATAGAAAATAAAAAAACAGCATTTATTTGTTTGTTGAAGACCCCTGATGTAGAAATTTTAAAAGAAATTCTTAAATAATTATTAGGCCATAGACACCTGTAGTGTTATTTTAAAAATGTTTATTATTGTATTGTTTTTAAATAATTAATATGTATTTTTAATGTTTTCCACAGACATTGATTATCACAGTGGCACCAGACACAGAACACGATGAGAGCATTCCTTTCACAAACCAGCCGTGCGGAACAGAACAAAATGGAAAACTCCCAGACTGCATCCCAAGAGAGATCAAATGTATGTCTGTGTTTATTTGTTTCTACACATAAATCCCTTATTTAGGCTTAAGTGATGATGCTTAAAGATGATTCACGTCTGTTGTCGTTCTTTCTCTGACTTTCGCTTTTGTAGTTCACGAGTTCTTCTATTTTGTGCTGGACGAGGTGCCTTTTGGAAGATTTAAAGAGCTTGTACGTCGACTTGGTGTTTCTGAGCAGAGCATTGACAGGGCGGCACAAGACCACAGGAACAGCAAAGATGCCCACTACCAGATGCTGAAGGTTTGGAGTGACAGCGGCAGTGGAGGAGGGAACAGTGTTTTGCCATGTCACCGCATCCAGATGTTCGTAGACACTCTGAAGGACATGTATTTGGTTAACTGTGCAGACAACATCGAGAGCAGGTTCCTTTCATGGGACCAAAGCACTTCACACTGAGGCCATTAGAAGAGAAAGAAGAAAAGGGCATTAAATAGAGAACTTAACCTCCACCGATTTCCATTGGATTCCTTTGAGAGTGGAAGTGCGTCTACAGCTGTTTTTTGGCCATGTCATATTTCCAGTTGTCTGAAGATTTCACACTAAATTTTTTATGAATATGCTTATGTTTTATGTTTGTATGCAAGCTTTTTTTTTAGTGCTGTCAAAGTAAATGTATCTGAATGAGGGTGGTGGGGTGGTTGGGGTTTGGGTTGTAATATTTCAGATATGTATTGGAGATAACATAATCATGCATATTCTCTCCAAGTTCTCCTTATCATAGCACAGATCTCACAATAACATGTCCAGATCACACACCTACACACAAACACACACACACACACACAAACACACACACACACATATACAATGTTCAACATTGTAAGAAAGGTTTTTGTTCTGTTGGTTTTTTAAGGGTAAATGTATCTGAATGAGGGTGGTGGGGTGGTTGGGGTTTGGGTTGTAATATTTCAGATATGTATTGGAGATAACATAATCATGCATATTCTCTCCAAGTTCTCCTTATCATAGCACAGATCTCACAATAACATGTCCAGATCACACACCCACACACACACACATATACACTGTTCAACATTGTAAGAAAGGTTTTTGTTCTGTTGGTTTTTTAAGGGGTTTTTTTTTTCTTTGGAAAGAATTTTGAAGGAAGATTATGTTCACTAAGACTGCATTTATTTGATAAAAAATAGTCCAAAATTTTTTTTCCTATGGTTTTTAGCAGCCTTTACTCCAGTCTTCAGTGTTAAACTTAAAAAAAACCCATGAGATTCTTATTCCTTTCATTTAAATTTCTTACATTTTCTTTCTTGGCGGTGACCTGGGCATGTTCTTGATAGGTTTTGTGAGAGGCCTTATTGACCCAATAATGCCTCCAACTGTATATATGAATTTAATGCTGATAGCAGTGGTATTTGCATGTACAAAACAAAAACAGTTTATAATTGCATTTGTATTTGAGGGGTATTTTATACAATTTGAGATGTGATTTATATTATTGCATTATTCCACGGGCTAATATGGGGCTTCAGCTGGAAAATAGCATTAAAATTCAATGCAAATGCAAATTATAAAGCTAATTCGACCACAGATGGGTTTTTTTGTGCCTTAATGGAACATTCCTATATAAATGACCCATATATGCTGGAAAAACATGGTGCAGAAACAGAAAACTGCAAACAAGTAACACAAGTAGAAGGACTGAAATAGTATTTTTTGTAAAATGAACTTCAATAATTTTTATGTGTCACATTTTTTTTTACAATGGGTGAAAAACAATATAAGAAAAATGTCCCCAAATACATTTTTAAAAATGCTATCTTTTTTACATTTAATTGCCCAAAAAATAAATAAACAGCTTATATATTGTTAATTCATGTGTAATTTGCCTTTCATTCTAATTCATTATAATTTTAGATGAAACCTGGAAGTACATGCTTTGTAAAAGGCCTCACCAGCACTAAATCTACAAGTGTTTTGTTAGCAGACCCTTAACCACTAGAGAAGCACCAACCCAGCCGTGTCTCCTTTGATGAAGGCGCTAGTATAATTATGTCCTGATGCGCATCTGTTATTATCTTGCCCAATGTTGCTTTTCTGCATTCCTATCCCACTGAATTTATTCCTGTCTGATATTTCTCAGGCCCTCTCTCGCTTCCTTTTTTTTAATCAGCTGAACTGCACGCGTTCAGAGCTTGACTGGTACCTCACAGTCTGTACTATAGACATGAATCATTTTAACAGATGATAAAATGTTCAAAATCGGATTTACACTAAAGGAAGATCCTTTAAATCTAGAGCCAAATCTAGGTATACCTAAATATTACCATGGCATCATGTTGATGGGGTTTTCTTGGGTAAGCACCTGTCAAATCCTCCCAGCATTTAAATTTCCTGATTGGAGGCAAAATAACAGCTTTCTTCCTTATTTTGCATGTTTGCGTGTGTGTGTGTGTGTGTGTGTGTGTGCGTGCTTGTCTTTGTGGAACTAAACCACAAACCTATCATCCCTGTCTAAACAATTATAACTTTACATGTTGTTACGTACCTGTGATCAACGGCTGGTTGGTTGTCAATCACATCAGAAAGCACTAATGGCCCAGTCAGGTTTATCTTCTCAGGGTGCAGCCATGCCTGAAATCTAAGTCTGAAGAATCTGGTCTCGCTTGCTCAACCTGTTACTGAAGGAAGGGTTAAAGAAAAACGATATAGCAAGACACTGAGGACTCCGAAAGACAGATTCAGGAAGACAAGAGGGACAGAAAGAGACCTTAAAGATGTCCGTGTGAGGGAAATGGACACAGTTAAATCCAGGTATCTGTTGGGGAAGACTTGCCTGAGAATGTGTGTGTGTGTGTGTGGTAAAGGAGATTGTCTAAAACTGGAATCACATGTAAATAATTAAAGAACTGAGATTGTACTGGGACTTGCTGATGCAAATTGCATTTAAATCTACTTTTACATATCTTATGCTGAATTTGTTTTCAAAATTATGTGTTATGACTTTGTGTTTATGGTATATTCAATGTTATGCCTGTATGTGTAACTACAAATGTGCATTTGCAAACAGTTTATGTGCATGTATACGGCTGTGTGTGAGTGTTTGTTCGTTCGGGGTATTTTACCCTGAATTGATGGCTGATGATAATGTTGACAAGGTGAGTCTGAGCGGAACTGGTGTATTGCCAAAAAGTGATGTCAAACGTGGGCGGATATTCAGATCTTTCTCAGAACATGTGTGTGCGAGTCTCCTGAATCACACACCAGTGTATTTTATGCCCGTGAGATTCATGCATGACTGGGGAAAAGTGACTCACCTGAATTACAGTGAATTCTATGAATCAGAGTTGGCGTGTAAGAATATGTGTGTTTATAAGCTTCAGGCCATGTCTCTTTTATATGGAGTCCTGGCATGTAGTGTGTTTGTGCGTGTGTGTGTGTGTGTGTGTGTGTGTGTGTGTGTGTGTGTGTGTGTGTTTAACACTATTTACTTACATTTTCGGGACAAATTATTCCTCTGAAGTGAGCTAAACCTTCCTTTGGGGATAAAAATAAATGTACAGTTTTGGGAAATAAAAGAACAAGTCAACCTATAATTTAAAATGAAAAAAAAAAACTATCATTCCCAGAGTTCCATGTGTGATGCTGCAACATTTTTTTTTTTTAATATAATTATAGTGATTATATTAATTCAGCAGAAAATGGCTGGTGGATTTAGTGGTTTAATTTTTAAGTTACAACAAGAGTTACAAATGTATGTATATTAAATATGCAATAAACATAAATATAAATTATATAATTAAAATGATATTTGTGTAATATACTAATTTAACAGTAAAATAAAAATAATAGTATGGTATATTAATATAATATTTCTACAATTTATACTACTACTTCTATTAATAAATATGAAGTTTTTAATAATGAATTCATTTTAATTATTAATATTTATCAAATAGGATTATATTTTATTACCGTAATATCATTATACAGTATGCTTTCGTCTAAGGTTAGTGTTATGGGTTATATTTAATCTATATATTTACATTTAACGTCATATAAAACAACAGAAGTCCATAATATGTCCTTATTTAAATAATCAAATGCATGGGAGGGTCAAATTTTGTCTATATTTTGGGGTCCAGAAGAAGATGACCTAAGGATCGCAAAACCTCAGTTCACCTACAGGGGAGCAGCTGACAGTTCCAACGGGAAAAATGCCTTCATAACATAGTAGATAATGTCATAATGACAATATAAGTTAATACAATGTAAAATATAAAATGAAAAATAAAAAAAATATGTTTGCGCAAGGGTACAGATTGAGGGGGTAGAAGACATCATTAGCTCAATATAAAAACAAGATACGTCAATGGAAAATGATAGAAAACCCACCATGATAGAAAAACAAGTGTGTGTGTGGCATATGCTAGGTCAGGAGATGTGAAATGTTTTGAGATTTAAAGGTCACATCAGTGGGCTTCAAAAGTCTGGTATCAGTTCCTTCTAGTTGTGGTTTACAGTTTTTTTGTGGGTTTTAAATTGTTTTGTATTATGCACAGCACAGTGATAAATATAGCATAGCAGCTTTTTTTGTAATTACTCAGTGCTGCTACTATTTTCTCTTCTACTTTCCCTGTTTACTGTTGCACTGTTGTTGATCTTATTCATGTGTTCCTCTTATTGTAATCCTATCTGTCTATTAGTAATCCATCAAAAGGACCAGAACTGAACAATGTCATGGCCCCAGAGGAAACTGCCGCCGGTGACAAGAGTGACAGACAGCGGGAGGAAGAGAAAGAGGCAGACACAGACACTCCTGATGGATTTGTTGCAGTACCATCAGGCGCTCAGCTGAGGGCACAAGAGAAGCACAGAGACAACACTGTAGGCTACCAGGTACTGAATTCATCAGATTATATTCAGCACTGGAATTTCTTTGCATTATGCAGATGCTTTCATATAATCTGACTTTTAATGCATTTTAGATCAATAGCGGGACAATCCAAAATGGTCAAAAATGTCAGGGGGTAGTATACGGTTCTGCTATCATAAAATCTGAAATTTTTCAGAGGAAAATATTTAGTTAAGCATATTGTTTTATTAGCAAAAATTTCTGTCATGTGGCGCGACCGGCAAAGACAAGTGGTGCGACCAAAGTGCTGAAGAAAATCAAAAAAAGGAAATGAAATCAGGACCCCTAAAAATAATGTGTGTCATGGTCAATGTGTGTTATGACATGATAAGGTTAGTTCAAGGTATGCAAAATATTGTGTGGTACAACCTTCCAATATGGAGCGCCGAATAACTCAAAATTAAATAATTACAAATGTTTGAAATATTATCATTATTATTAAATAGGCTAAAAACAGCACAAAAAAAATCTTTACATTCATTTTTAATTCACTACGCAAATTCATGAATGGCCCTCCATATCCCAAAAACTTTATATTTATGATTTTTTTTTTCTTTGCTGAAATTGAATGGTATGTAAGTTGTTCAAAGTTAAATGCATCTATGATCCCTGGGAATCAAAGCCAGGACATTGGAGTGCTCTACTTCCAATTTTTAGTTGTTTTTTTTAGTTTTAGAAACCTCTCACACACACATTCAACCTAAGGTCTTTTGAATTAAACACCAATTTCCTCTGCTTTCATTCTGCTACTCTGTTCAGATGTCCAGACAGGTGCATATGCTGAGCTGATTGATGCTCAAATGATTTAACCAAGTAGAACATCGAACAATGTCCTTTGTTGGTTCTGGAATAACATTAGTATCAGTCACGCTATGAGGAATGCTTTTCCAGGACCAAAGGGTGTTTTTGTAGGACCATGTTCTAAATCCTGTTGTGCTTTATAAGCAGTCACAGGTTTAATCAGGCTTTAGCTGATTGCTGTC